CAGGGGGCAGGGCTGGCTGGCATGTGGTGCTGGGGGATTGAACCGCGGTCCCTGATGCTTTTGCTAAGCTTGTTCTAAGTAGGTGCTTTAGACCACCGAGCCATCTCTCCAGCCCTGGCGTCTTCATTATAACCGTCACCATGATGCTCCTGCAGTAAAATGGGTTAACAAGAGAAAAGTTTAGCAGGTTGATGTAATTCAGGTTTTATGTGACACAGAACCGTTTATCAATGAAGGCTCAAGCTGGGCCTGGTGGTGTACCACTATAATCCCAGCACATGAGAAGCTGAGGCAGGAGGATTGCCACAAATTGAAGGCCAGCCAAAACCACACAGTGAATTCAAGGCCAGCTTCAACTACATAATGAGATCCCATGTCAAAAAATGGAAGGAAGGAAAGAAAAAAGAAAAGAAAAGAAAGATCCAAAGATCTAGGAGAAAGCTCTTTTTATGCTTAGGTCCAATGAAATAAGGACAGCTGTGTAGAAATGAATCTGATTGGACAAAATGGTGTGTTCCTATTAGACAGAGACTGAACAGGAAACCTAGTAGGACCTGTCCAGGTTTTTTTTTTTTTTTTTTTTTTTTTTTTTTTTGCGGATCCAGGGATTGAACTCAGGCCCTTGCGCTTGCCAGGGAAGCGCTTATTCCACTGAGCTATCTCCCTAGCCCACCAGCTTTCTCTTGGCTTCACTGTTTAACATTCTGCCCTCCCGGATATGAGGCAGTATCTATCCCTGTTGAGTGAAAGAGAAGAAATAGAGGTGTTTTATTTTGTTTTGTCTTTACAGTCCTGGAGGTTGAACCCAGGGCTTTCATGCTGAGCTACATCCCCAACCGTTTTTAAATTTTTCATCATGAGACAGTTTCACCAAGTTATCCAGGCTGTGCATGAAGTTGTATTCCTCCTGCCTTAGCCTCCCAGAATCCTTTCAGAACTTTATGGCTTGCTTTCGGGCATTTTCTATGATCCATTTTGGAGAAGAGAAAGTCTGGTTTCTTTTGTGTGTGTGTGTGTGTGTGTGTGTGTGTGTGTGTGTGTGGCCAGCTCAGCCCACCAGGGGGCGGGGCTGGCTGGCATGTGGTGCTGGGGGATTGAACCGCGGTCCCTGTGCTTTGCTAAGCTTGTTCTAAGTAGGTGCTTTAGACCACTGAGCCATCTCACCAGCCCGAAAGTCTGGTTTCTATGGCTCACTTCATGGTAGAAAGTAGGGTAGGAGGCCTCGCTTCTGAGGCTTTTTCAGATCTCTTTCTCTCTGTCTCTCTCACTGTCTCTGTGTGTGTGTCTCTCTCTCTGTGTCTCTCTCTCTGTCTCTGTCTCTCTGTGTCTGTCTGTCTGTCTGTCTCTCTCTCTCTCAGATGGAACCCAAGGCCCTGCACATGCTAAAGCACACGCTACAGCACTGAACTCTGCCCCTAGCCCCAGTCTCCCTCAGTTGGAACTGCTGAGCATGGCAAGGCACCATACTTCGGGGTATCACGGATACCATGTCCCAAGCCCCTAACACGCGAAAGATATTTGCTGAATGAAAGACTGAATGAATGGCCAGTGGGAGGATGGGCTGGGGAGAGGTGTAGAGGGAGCGGGGCTGCTGAAGGGTTACAAGGCCTTCTGTGTGCAGATAGCAGAAGACTCCTCATCCACCTTCAGGGTCAGATGATGTCTCTTTTCCCCTCTTTTGGCGACTCTTGTCTATTTTATTGCTTCATCTCCAGGTGTTCCCGAGAAGCCTCCAGTCGGCGGATTTGCATGCCCACTTAGGTGACGGACTTACACTGAGCCTGCTGCTCCTCGCTCCACAGCGACCCATGGTAAGTGCAGAGCTGTCCTTTCTCATTGCTGAGACAGAATACCTGACACTCAAAGTTAGAGGAGGAAACATTTATTTAACTCATTTTGTAGAGGTTTTAGTTCATAGTTGCGTGGCACCAAGGCAAAGTCCGTGGCAGAGAGGCATCGCAAAGGAGAGACGCCACGTGGCAGCCAGAAGACAGCAAAAGCAAGCAAGCAACTCTAGACGAGCCTCTTTCTGTCCCTTGTGTTTTATCCAGGCTACCTTCCCAGTAGCCCTCACACCTTAATCCTAGCATCGCCTCATGGATCGATCCCAGCATCGCACACTCCAGATCTAGCCACCTCGGAGACAGCGCCACCTGTGACCACAGGGCCATCCAAACACAGTCACAATGAGATCCAAATGAAGAAAAGCATGACCCTTGACCTAGAGGTACTATTTATGTCTTTGGCAGGCAAGAGAATTTGGGGGGGCATTTTCCTACAAAGAGCAATGTATGATGTGACATACACTTCAAAGCAGTTTTTACAATCCAAGGTTATTTTCTGTACACATTAGGCACTGGCCAGTAGGACATTTGAACACTGCTGAACTCTAGAATTATATGATGGATGTAGAGGCCTCAAAGTGATTTTGGATTTTTTTTTCATTTATGTACTTGGTATAGCGTCTCACTATGCAGCTCAAACTCCTGATTTTTGAATGGGCCATTTGCTGCACGAGTCTTTGCTTTTCCCCATCGATGTCTAGCACAGGAGTCTAGTTTCCAAGTTGCTGAGCGAAAGGTACTTACAAGGATTTGATGGTGTTTTCTTGGCCCGAGTATTTCTGCATTAGGTGGCAGAACAGTACTTCTCCAGTTCTTCTGGTGATGGTTCCCTACTGTGTCACTTAGTCACTTAGTCACTTTCCTAGTAGTTGGAACACAATACCTGGCACCTACTTCTTAAAAGAATAGAGATTTATTCTTTCTTTCTTTCTTTCTTTCTTTCTTTCTTTCTTTCTTTCTTCTTTCTTTCTTTCTTTCTTTCTTTCTTTCTTTCTTTCTTTCTTTCTTTGTGGCTAGCTCAGCCTGCCCTGGGGGTTGATGGGACTGGTGCGGCATGTGGTGCCAGGGATCAAACCATGGTCCCTGTGCTTTGCCTAAGCTTCCCAAAGCAGGCGCTTTAGGCCACTGAGCTATCTCACCAGCCCTGAGGTTTATTTTCAGTCCCTGCATGGGCAGCAGTGGGGTGGAAGGACCTCAGCGGGAGGAAGCTGCGCACTGCATGGCAGACAGGAAACAGAGCAAAGGGAGGAGGTACCCTGGGGTTTAGCAGCAAGTCAGTAGTACACCTCCATAATCCTATTCAACCATCTTTCCGATGTCTACCTTTCAATGCGTGAGACTTTGGGGAAGCACCCAGATAGAAATGATAATATTGGGGCTGGGGTTAGAGCTGAGCAGCATAAGCACCTGCCTGGAAAGTACAAGGTCCTGAGTCGATCCCTGGTACTGAAAAAACAAACAAACAAAACAACACTGTAATACTTGCAGATCTTCTTAAGTCTCAGGTTAGAGGGCCTTGACTCCATATTTACTTTTTTTTTTTTTTTTTTTTTTTTGGTCTTTTTGAGACAAGTTCTCTCTATGCAGTTGATACTGGCCTTGAGCTCATTTTGTAGCCCAGGCTGGTCTCAAACTCTCAAAGATCCTCCTGCCTCAGCCTCTGAATGCTTGGATACCAAGCGTGTGCCACCACACCTGGCTTTTTTTTTTTTTTTTTTTTTTTAAGACAGAGTCTCCTTATGTACTTTCTGGGGGCTGTCCTTACTGTGTAGCCCAGGGTGGCCTCAAACTCTTAGTAATCCAACTGCCTCAGCCTCCTGAGTGGTGGGTTTACATGTCCAGTTGACTCCATATTTTCTGCCTTGTAAGCCTAGGTCGAGCTTGATGAAGGATAATATTTTTAAACTTTTTTTTCAGCGAGGGTCTTTCTGAACTGTCCATGCTGGACTCAAACCTGCAATCCTCCTGCTCGGCCTTGCAGCGGGCTGGTATTGCTATTTATATCACTATGCCTGGCTTGGGCCCCTTCCACTCACTCCTTGGGATGCCCGTGCCCTGGTTGGGGACCACACTCTGTGTAGTCCCTGGGCTCCCATGCCATCCCTGCCACCACCCAAGCCAGGCTGTGCACTTATGAAGCCTGATTATGGCCTGAGCACAAAGCAGGACAGGTTGGGCCCACAGGTGTCCCCAGCACACGCCTGCTCCCGTGGCAAGCCTGGTTGTGGGGTATAGTACCTCACACATGACCCACTGGTTGGCTGGTTGACAGCTCTTGCCTTGGCTGGGCCCTCACCCTGCCACCATCACACAAAGCCCCCTTTCACGAGCAGGGCTTCTGCAGGCTTGGAGGCTGCTCAGGAGGTTCGGTTAACCTCACTAAGCAAACAAACAGCTCCTGGGCCAGCGGGCACTGGCGGGCACTGGCGGGCACAGAGGCTGGATTCTTCTCTGGGAGGGCGGGTGGGTGGGCCAGCCGGGAGTGGCCTCCCCGGGCTCCCCAAGCAGGGGCAGCCTTGCCCACTCCACCCAGCCCAGCTCTGGTCACCTGCCTGCCCCAGTCCTTATCTGTACAGGCCAGAGTCGCATGTGGGTTAAGTGACGTCATTCTCCTCAAGTGTTCAGCGGGGGGCAAACACGCAGCAAACAAGTGTTGGCCAAGAGTTTTGACTGAAGAAGTGTACAAAACTGCTGTTTTTATAAACCCAACCCAGTGGGACGCTAGTTATACTGATGCTAATATACTAATCTATTGTGGCAAATTCTCCTGTTCTTTTCACTATCCTGAGATCAAAAGGCTTGCTTGGAAAGCAAGTATTTTGACAACTAACTGTAATCAGGATTTTTCTATTTTTTCCTACATTGCACAACTGAAAAAAGGGAAATACAGTAATTAGGTGTAAATCAGCAACTATTTTATTCATTACAACAGCTGCAAAGCTCCTACTCAGTGCTTTACAAATTTTATAAATTTGAAGTAATAAAATTATATAGGGGGCCCAGCCGTAGCTCAGTTCTTTAAGTGGCTGCTTCCACAATGCTGGCAGCCTCAGTTTGCTGTAGTTCGATCCCCACAACACTCCAGCCATGC